TGAGCCCCCAGCCCTTACAGATTTGAGCTTCGGGCCTGTCGTCGCACCTTCTGCGTGGCGAACATCTAACTTGAACGAGTTCTCAGTACTTGCCTTGACCAAGTCAGAGGTGTCCAGAAGGTGCACGGGCCTAGAGTTCATATTTGCACCGTATGAGCTTCCAACAGCAAATATATATATATATATATATGCACACATGCATATTGCCATAAATACTCTCTGCGAAAGCTCTGCTAAGAAAGGAAAACACTTGTACGCGAAAGTTATCACTTATCACATTTCGCTGTTCTCAAATACTTGTTAATTTTGAACAACAACCATATATATATATATATACATATGTACGTATACGCATGCATGCATACATACATACATACTGTATACATGATGTACATAGCATACATCAGGTCCTGCCTACGCCCAGCAATAGCTCTGCCTGTTTGTTTTCGTGGAGAGTTGCACTGGGAGATAAAGGAAAAATATGGTTGGATATATCTATAAGGTCACATTTTCTGCTGCAGATACCACAATGAACGATCACATTCCATGCGAAGATATGCGAAGATGATGGTTTTTCCTGCTGCGTTTTGTTGTGGGTCTGCTTGTGGCTTGTAGTCGCTAATGCGCGCATGCCAAGCCAAGAGGTCACTGTTGCTCGTCTCCCCGAACCCTGATGGAAGTAGTCCTGTTTGCGACTTATGTCTCGAATTGCACGACCCCTGGACCCAGAGACCCCAAACCCTGAAATGCAAACAGCGAACCGACCATGCCTGTGCCAGGAATACCTTCTCGTATGGTTTCGCAGATGCGATAGGGAGGAATTTGACCACGTGCTTGACAGATGAGATGCAAGCTTGGTGTTAAAAAGCGATCCTTGCGCTTGTCCGAAGTACAGGCTGGAAGCTTAAGGGTCAGGGTGCTTGCATGGACGAAAACCGAAGTACAATAAATGTGGAGAATAGGCTTACCATGAGGACTTGCAACAGATCGGGGGAAGTTGCGTGACTTGCCAAGATTTTGGGGGATTCCCAATTCCAAAACGAGAACTTGAATTGAGTGTTGCAACGTCGTTGGAAAGTGGTGCCGAGGTTGCTACTTCAGAGCACCTGGGTGACGAGCATGGTTGGCTATACAGTAGCTGCAGCAACAGCTAACACCTTTTCATTCCAGTCGCCCCTGTACCAGCTTGAGGGTGTTGAAGTCCAACTCCATGCTTTGATAAGGCAGCCGAATCACCTAAAATAGGCCTATAGGACTTGTGCCTTGCGTTGCAGACTTGAGCTGTTGGACTCGATCTTCGCACCTTGTGATTGCGGAAAGGTTGGTAGGCGGAAGCCTGTTGCGTCGGAAACTGTCGCGACTTTGCGACTCACAGACGGCTCTCGCTGGGTAGAGGTTACGCATTGGCTGCCGGCTGAAGTAGTGTACGACGGCTCACCTGTGCAGGAGCCATGTCATCGCACGGACTCCCCCGGCACAGTATCGAGATCTGTTGCAACTCAGCACGAAGACTCTTTGTCAGGCGGCGCCTAATAGTGCTTAAACTCCTCGAACATAAAGCTGACTTGTAGGCCCGGCACTGTTCATATTAGGGGTTTTTCGGTTGAATCGTCCTTGTCGTACAGCAGTAGTAGTAGTAGTAGTAGTAGTAGTAGTAGTAGTAGATGTTGTTGTTGTAGCTGTAGTTGTAGTTGTAGTTGTAGTTGTAGTTGTAGTTGTAGTTGTAGTTGTAGTTGTTGCTGTTGTTGTTGTTGTTGCTGTTGTTGTTGCTGGTGTTGCTGTTGTTGTTGTTGTTGTTGTTGTT